GCATCCTATCACTTAAGGAAATTATTGCTTTAACAGCATTTTAAAACCTCCCTGGCACCTACGAGTCCAACCAAGGCTCTCTCTCTGTCAGGCTCCTCTCTTGTAGAACACTTGCCAGCAGAGGTAGCTGATCAATTATAGATTAAAAATTCAGTTCTTTCACACTAGGCTGGGCTTTGCCAGAAGGAGCAGAGCGCTGGGTACACGTATTTTGGAAGTGCTGCTTGCCAGTGTATGATAAACTTCTGGGCATCAGCAAAGGGTCGAACAACTTCRAAAAGGAAATCTGTTGCAAGGTTGACAGTATAGAAAAAGCAGCTGGAAATTATGGTCTGGAGATTAAGGCAACTAACAAAACAACATATCCATGGCTGAGTTAGAGCCAAAGTCAAGACACAAAGAAAGGGTTCCCAGATTCTTAAATAAAAGAAAAAAAAAAGAAAAGAAGATAAAATATGATCCTGGTAAGTCAATTTTCCCCTTAGATTTTTTTTTTCTTTTAAATGGCTAATATGTCATGATGCTAGCAAATAAGTACAACCTTCTCCTGTAAAATAGTCCTTGGGGTTGTCAAGGGAAGACCCTGATCCAGGAGCAATCTCTCAGAGCTCAGTAAGCTCTGAAACTTTAATGTCCTTCATGCAACCAACAGGATAGAAAACAGCAAAGCAACCAGTCAGCAATGGGACCAAGCTGTTGTACAGGTTTATGGAGAAAGTAGAAATACCTTCCCTATTTTTTCATACCTTAAATATCCTAGAAAGACATTTTCAATGATTACTGCTTCTTATTTGGTTACCTCCCTCTAACAACAAATAATTAACACAACTATGAACTTGTTAATATAATGAAAATGCTTTCTTCCTATTTCCAACAGATTCCCTGAATAAAGACTTTGTCATTTACTCACAACCCAGATGATATCTTATAGTACACGCAGCATGACCAAGCTTCTTTCTGTCATCCCAAGGGACTTTTACAAACAAGAAATAAGCAAATTGCCTTAAACAAAACGACGTGCTAGCAAAATGCATCACACACTGTGAGGAATTGACCTGGTTTTACTGCTGGGTGGCTTCTCTGACTCTTTTGTAGGTGACATTGTTTATTTATTGCTGGGTTTTACGCAGAATTCAATGGATTCTGCCATGTCTTTGCATGTTCTTGTGTACCTGCAGCAAAAGGATGCTGTCCCCAAAGACAAGGCAGTCACATCACCTCAGGCCAGCCACATGGAAACAGTCCCTCTGTGCAGCTCTATCACCAGCACATCCCAGATTCTACAAAGAATCTAAAATAGTGGAACAAACTGCACCACCAAGGGACTGAGCAGAAAGCACTCAACTCTCCCACTGTCTTCTCAAGGCCTGGAAAATTTCAACAATAAGCCTTGTTTGGCAGCCTTAACTTTCAAAAAACTGCACTCCAAACCATTAACTTCATCATATGGACCAGCTGCAGAGTGCACCTGAATATTCTGAGTGAAGCCTTGAACACAAACAGACATTTCTGCCTCTGAAGGGCGGGGCAGGGTGAAATCCTCACACTGGCTCCATGACATCCATTTTTACACACCCTGCTTCTTGTCTCCACAGGAAATGCACACAGCAGGAAGCTCAACACCCAAAGCAGACAGAGTGAGCCTTCTGCTCATCTCTGCTGAGCCCTGCCAGGCCACATCATCTGCCTCCTGCAGCTTCTGCTTCTTGTTCACAAACCCGCCCCAACATCCTGCTGCCCAAAAATACATCCTCAAGCATGGAATAAAATGGGAACAGCCCCAAACCTACCGCAGGAAGCCTGGAATCAAGCTGATCCTAAAACTCCCAGTGCCACCAGCAGCCACCATCCCTACCCCACCCCAAATCACAGTCTGGACTGCACACTGACTACGCACGCAGCGCTCAAAAATGTGGATAAACATACTTGGAGCAATTAGCATCAGGCTTCCATCCCCTGCCCAAACTCCACCAGCACAGTTACACAACCAGCCCAGCCCTCCAGCCTGCRTTTTCACACTAACCCTAGTTCCTAAATCCTTGCCCACAGACAATTCACACASAGCCACCCAAAATTTTAAGCATTTCGCTTCGCAAACATTTGGTCCCAGCATTTGGCTTACCACAAAAGGCATGGCAGGATTCAAAAATAAACACAGCTTTSCAGCACCTATTTTGTGGATTGTGTAGCCAAGCTTGCTGCTGACAGCTGCCAAACCCACAGAGGCTGAGGATTATTGACAGATTTAAATTCCCAATCTGAATTTTTAGACAGCCAAGTCCTTATATCTACTTCCTTGGGTGGCTTTTGTGTTTGTCTGAAAAATGAGGTTTGTGTTTGATAAATATACTAGCAAAACCCAAATCCCTAAGAGTATATGCCAGCAATATCAATACTCCATTTATCATTGCTTGGTTGATTTCCAAGTTGCCAGTTAACCTTGTAAATTAACTTCTTCTTCTTAAATTACAGAAAATTGCAGAAACCACAGTAAACAGTAAATAACTAAATCGTTCAACAACAACAATTTTTGTGAAAAAAAGAACTCATTGAAAACCTTCAATTTACAAGTAACAGAACACGACTGCTGCTGTCATCAAGAAAGTGAAGTGTAGGATCTTTCAGAATAGTGAATCTGGATTTCTTTATTCACTCTTTTTGCATAAGGAACTGTAGGATGATGCAAAGAATCATCCTAAACAGAAATAAGGCCCGAGAAATATTGTGCCCTGCCCATTATGAAACAAAACAAAAAGCTCAAAAACAAAGGAAAAAAAAAATTAAAAATAAAAAAATCACTCTTCAGTAAACACATTCCTTGCTACTTATTTCAATGGTATTGATCATTGTAAATACTGTGCATGTGTATAAAACACTCCTGCTACACCTTCTGTGTGGTTTGAGCCCTTCTGTCTCCAGGGTACAAGGCCACCTCAGGTCAAAGACCACGCACTGCTGATAAACTTACCTGATTGCTGAGTAGAAACATAATTGCCTTTCTGCCCTCAGCACATCCAACAGCTTGCATATTTAAAATGCACAAGTTTATAGATTMAGTCTTTTAGTACTTTTTTGCCAACATACATTTTTTGTAGAGCAGAACATTAGTTCTAACTTTCAGGGACAGATGCAAAAATCAAAATCTGACTTAAGAAGTAGGCTCAAGAGGGAAATGCACATGTTTAGTCACAGGTTTTAAGTAACTTATAGTTAGATGGATACGCTACCGTCATTAACCACACCTCAGCTAATATTTAAATGTTTAGCTATCATRTTTCCAAATGTATCACACAGCASAACACCCCAAATTCCACTGTATTTSTTATGCCATAAAGCTTAAGACATAATTTAAATTCCCTTATGTTTCTGTATCGTGTTAAAATTTTATTTATTGATTAGTTGCTTTAATATAGTTAACTTTARACAATAATTCAATTATTTCTGTGAAGCTGAACCAAGCTGCTGGGCTATCAATCTCACCATRGGTTTTAACTGGTGAGAGAGTCATGCCTTGTATGAATGCACTGATGAACCCTCAAGTCACAAGGCAAAACCTTTCCCACCTTTTCCAGGAAAACCAAATCTTGGCATTTAAAGGAGTGAACAGTAACTACCCCCATTATTTGAAAGCTTTTGAGTTTGCAGCTTTGGACAAAGCTAGGCTGTAATTCACTATGACAGGTAAGCAAAAAGAACCGTTTTTTCCCTTTTCTCCTGCACTCAACCACTCACGACCTTCTAAGATGTTGAATGCCTAAAAGATGAAAATTACATGCGAGAAACAGCATTGTCTCTAGAACAGCATCCCACAGACACAATTCCTCAGCTGGCCTGTGTGGAGGGCAAGCTTCTGTCTCCCACATCACCGTGAATGCCTCACCTAACCAAAGACACAGCTGGAAAAAACAAGAATCCTGCCTGAGGATGCCAGCAGCACCATCCCAGTGCCAGCTTCCTAAAAGGGGCATCAAGGGCCAGCCCTTCACAGATCTGGCACCGATCTCCCCGCTCAGCCACCTGACTTCTTGCATGATATTTCATAAATATGCTCTTGTGTTTAATGCAAACAACACAACCTCACTCAGTGAGCCCTTGAAGCCACYCTCAGCTTTCTTTTTCCTCTTCATAGGAGTATTTTGATTTGCACACAGTTGGATGTTTTGCTTCTGAGAAGAAACTTGCACCATCCTCACATGAACAATTACTCTTTTCTGGATTATTCCCATTTTCTACACAGTTAAAACACCACCCCCAGATTTTTAAGAGGGATGTAGGGAAATGGGTCAGGATTGCATGTTTTCTACTGATTTTTCTCCCCAGATGAGTTTCTAGTTTAAACACATACAGATTCCAGCCAAGATCTATAAATCTCTTAACAAAAACTGTCAGAAGAAGATTTATGAAAATGCCCTGTCCCTGGTGCTCTCTAACCTAATTAAAAACTCCTCATTGATTGTTTTGTTTCAAAATACCACCAGTCTAAAAATACTATTGTAAACAAACAGCAGTGAGCCACAGATCTTTAGCTACGAGTAGGTACAGAGTATTTAGCTAAGTGAATTGAGATAAAATGCAATATAATTCCTTGTTTAATTTTGACAGGAAAAAAAAAATATCCTTTTTATTGTGGTTTTTTTTCCTCTCAGGATACACAGCTTGTTCAAAGACATCCACAAAGTGCCTCAGGGCAGAAATGACAGTGCCAGAGTTTCTCCTGCACTCAGAATGTATGTCACAACAAAATACATTTAGTTTATCCATCATAAATATTTATTTATTGATGGYRGAAAAGCACACGTTTGAMTTTCATAATTGTTTTGTTTCAATTRCCAGACATGCTAAGACATCTTTATTTGACTTACTTTCCTAGTGGGTTTTTTTTGTCAGGAATGACACGCTTGATTCAAATTACATGTATTCTGATTATGAATTCATGAACAACTCTGTTAAGCTTTAATAACAGCTCTCTCMCTAAATGTTTGCCATTATAAAGGTCTTACCTCAAAAATTTCAAAGCCATAGATGTCGAGCACCCCCATTACCTTCTTTCTCACTTTTGTTTGTGCCTTAAAACAAAATTAAATATTCAGTCAGTCATCTGCACATTGCATACTTGGGACCCAAGAAAAATAATGTACCTCACAATTAGGCTGTCAAATACTGCAAACTAAAATGTTAAGTATGGTTTCCCAAAACACACTTGATGTGAGTATTTCTGTAAGCTTAAAAACAGAACAGAGAGCAATTTGTTGAGCTGTGATATGGTTATTTACGTGTAACAGTGTACAGCCAGGAAAAATTAAATTGGCAAACACAGTTTTACTGTCCACTTTAATTCAAAGGATTTCTATTGATTTTTTTTTTTTTTACAAGCACAAAACAACAATACCTTAATGCTCTCATTGATCCTGGTAACCAGCCAGGAGAACAGTCGACTGTATAAATTCTTAGCCAGAGCATCACGGGCATAATAAGCCTAAACAGAAGAAAGAAGAAAAATGTTAAAAGTGCTGGGCTAAACCAAACCTTCTCCTGCTGCTGATGTGCCTTAAAGGTGCCATGACCTGAGTAAAACCAGCACAGGGAGCCCTGGCAGGGGGGCCAGGACACTTCAGCAGCAGCAGCAGCAGCAGTTTGCTGATGCTCCCCTCTGCCCTCCTGGCCACGGCTGAGCATTTAGAAAACACTGAAAAAAAAAACCACTGAAAAAACTTACATTTGTGGTTTACTCAGGACAGTTTATTAGTTGTAGTTTTTACTGGGCTAGAAATTATTTAATCATGCAGAATAAATTGCCATTTAAAATGATCCTTCCCTTGAAAAACAGGACTTTTTACCTGAGCCACGTTTAGTGTTGTTGAAACTTTCTCTTGTTTGGCTTCAACTGTCCGGAAGCTGAAAGCTCTCTCCAATACAGACTGGTCTATACCTGTCAGCTCACAGATTTCCTTGAGTTCTAGCAAGAAAAAGCCAAGTGKAAATACAATAAATCCTTCTGTATCATTGCTTTTTCTTCCCCAAAACTATTAGCTTTYAAGGAGTGTGGTATTTCCCCAGAGCAGGTGGTCTTCAACAGAACTGAAGAATTCAACAGTCCCCATTCGCACTCTCTCCCCACCACTCTGCCAAGCAAAGATTTAAAAAACATGCACAGCAAAAGGAAACAGAGTTATTGCTTTTGAAAACCCTCTCTTTATAGCAGGCTACTTTTCATAATGAAAAGCTTTCAAATGAAAATGAACTTTCAAAACACATCAGCTGCAAAAATATCACCAAATGGATCTGACTTTATGGGCAGAGATACTGCAAATGAACAAAAATCCTCCACGGCAGAAAGGACAAGTTACAGAAACACACAGAACCATTTAACATTTTGGAACAAAGTGTTAATAATGTGGAAAAATAAAAAGAAAATAATAATTTTTGGAATTTTAAACAGAATTATTGAAATTGCACAGAATGTAACCCACTTTTGCCTGAGGGTGAGCTCTGGAAACAATCTAATTTAATTCATATGTAAGGATATTCTGTATGTCTGCAGAAAAGACAAAATTAATAATGACTTCAGACAAATTAGTGGGTTTCCTCCCATTGTTAATCTCTTCTTACCATTTTTATCTTTGATTTTACTTTCATCTAGGCCATTCGCACGAGATTCAGGCTTAAATTCGATATTTCCCAATTTCAGAACAGCTGCCACTACTTCAAAAACCGACTGTGTTTCATGATCCATAAACCCAACAATCTGCATTGCATTCTGAAAAGGGCACAGATAAAATTATGAGATGAAAGTATCTACATTTAAACAGATCATACTTGAAAAATTTACCRTTTATCTGCATTAGCATAAATTACAAATGGTTTATGAACACTTCTGCAACAAAAAGTACATGGTATAATTCCCATGCCTAGATTAGTAATTTTTTTAATACAAAGGAGCTCTGATAACGGAGCTGGTATTCAGTCCAGTCCACTTCTAGGATTCATTCACTTTTTGGGTTTCTAAAACACTGTACTTTTTTTTAGCCACTTTATTTAGTTTGTAACCCAACCCAATTTTTCACAGTCAAATGAGCAGGTACTCCTGTCTTCTCACACCAGACACTTCTAGAATCTAAATCTGCATACACTGCATAACAAGGTGCTGTGTTCATCTTGTCCCTCAGTACAATCAAGCAAAAACAGGACAGCAAAYCATCTTGAGAATCATCCCAGTCCTCTTTTTTCTTTCAACTTGGTCAGCATCACCTGGTTCATGAGGCTCAGTCACTGCTGACGTAAGCCACTACACAATATAACTTTTCCCAGGATCTGACCAAGCCATCTGGGCTTTTTTTTTTCCCCTTCCTTTGTTTTCTTTTTGTTTGKTTGKTTTTTTTCTTTTYGGTTTGGTTTGTTTGCTTTTCTTCTCTTCTTTTTATATTCTTCTTTTTTTATCCTTTTTGTATTCCCATAAGAATGCTCCAGAAATCTGATCCTATTTCCTAGCTGTTTGAAAGATTCCCTGTGCCAGCACTCAGAAAGGATGGCTCCTTCTCACCCTGACTGTTCTGAAGTTTGAAGCATCATCCACTCCATCCACTTTAGCAGAATCAAGACCCAGGTAGTTGTATCTGCTGAAGTCCCTCTCCAGTTTGAGTTTGCCTAACAAATCAAATAAAAATATCATTAGTAACAGCATTCTTGTTAGTAGCAATTTTATCCCAGAACCAGCATTGTCAGGAACTGTTGTCATTATTAGATTTCCTCCAAGGATCTTTTGATTATTAGCCTACTGAGTAAGAACAGGTTTCTGATTTGTTTATAATACATTGCTAAGCCAATTCTGACTCAGGTATCCGGGTAATTTCAAAGCATTTGTTGACTTCAGGTATTACCAATGCCACTACCACCAAAAATTTGAAAAATGAGCCAATATYGCATTTCTCACAAAGATGATGTGCATGGAATGGCACATTAAATACACAGAACACTCGTATCTAAACAGGGCACAAGGGCAACACTTACAGAGAAACTCTTCTGATGCACCRGACAGGATCTGATAGAAAATGTGGAAATTTCTTTCACCTCTTGGCTGCTTAACAACACGAGACTTCTCTAGTAGATCTAAACAAACAAACAAAATCCCACAKGTCAGGGACAGACTGCTGGAGCAAAACCCTTTAAAATGAACATAACCCTCCATCATTTTCTACTTCATTGCTTTATGTCACCATCAGCAAACCAGAAGATGATAAATGGGAGGTATGAACCTAATCACAGTACATCATGTATCTCAAATATTTCTTTGAGCAAGTGGCAAGCTCAGTGCACTTGTAAAGGCTGCAGTCTATGAGCTGCAAAGAAAATTCAGGTCAGAGAGGCAATGTGCTCAAAATATGTTAACTGATTTACAGTACCACCACAAAATTAAGATTTGGTGAGGATGGCAAAGATGGAAAAGAGGCAAAATGTTATCAGGCTAAGCATGTGAAAGATGAGTAAATGAGAAGGGGAGACCAAATAAAGCAAGCATTAAAAATGAATATCAGGCAGCACTTTGTGATCCTCAGAATATAAAATAATTCCCGGTGGGGCTGACAGAAGCTCCCTCCTGATATACCCAAGCAAAATGGAAAAGCAGCACATTGAAAAGCATTGCTGCCCTGATGGAACAGCTTGACAGGAAGGCTGCTCTCAGTGACAGACAGGTTTCCAAGCCTGGCCCATGAGGGCAGGAATCCAGGCAGGCAGCAGAARCAGACTGTGACACCTTGCAAGCACTTCAGACTCAACATCATATTTACCACGGAGGGGACAACCCCAAGGGTGTTCAGGCTGCTCTGCACTGCAAGGCTGTGGCTCACAGACTCCAGTAGAAGGAGGAGGAATGCACTAAGAGAACATCTGGGCATGTATTGGTATGACTTGCTCATTTGTACAAAACATATGTTTTTTTTATTTCTTTTCTCACTAGCATAGCTTCATTTCTCCAGAGAGTAAACACACACTTTTTATGTTCTTATATTCAGAGACGTGGAGACAGAAACATTCAATGCCTCATTCCAAGCACACAGCAAAGGAGCTCCCCCATGTTCCTACCATCACATACCCACCACATCTCTCTCCAACTGGGGCTTAAGTTCTCTCTAAGCTGTGCCTGTGCAAGGAGAAAGCTCCCAAAGGGAATTGTCACTCTTTGAAAGAACAAAGTGAGATGAGGTTTCACAAAGCTAAGACACACAGTCAATTTAAGGGTACACGGGGTGGTTAAACACCTCCCCTGCTGGAATATCTGACCCGTATTCTACTGCACCTTTTCTCAGATTTGCCTTTCTGCTGGAACTGAGCCTGTCCAGTCTCAGCAATCTGAAAAGTCAGAGGTGGCACTCAGGTCAGCAACCTTTGTGCTGCAACCCCCTCACCCCAGTCACCCACGGTGGAGCAACTGGGGATGGATCTGCCCAGGGTACCCTCCATGAACAGAGGGGTGCAACAGAGTGTTCCTATTTCTGCTGGCCACAGGCAGTGCCTGTGCTACCCACTGTAATTACCCAATAACATCCCTTCCCCTGGAACAGGAGCTAAAGGTTCAAAAATTACTTTCTGCTCTAATAATTAGCTAGCCACAACAACGACAAAATTCAGAGAATATTATTCATCAGCTAATAGTAGGACAAGTTTCGAGTATTTACAGACTGAGAGAGGCTGATCCCCCATCCAAGTGTCAATACTTGAGCTGGGAACGGCAAGGTGAGCAGCAGGCAGTTCAGAGTTGTGCTGGCTGTGAAGGTTCTCCAGGCAAGTGTTGGAACAGATCACAGCCAAATTTAATCCCAAAAAAATAAACAACTTCAGCTCCCACAGTGGCTACACACACTTCAGGAAATGGCTGTATTCTCAAGGGATATTGAAGCAATGYGGTTTGGCTTATTTGGGTTTAAAAATATTCTACCAATAAATTTACTCAAATGTTGTTACAAAAGCCCAGCTACACATCCTGACAAAGCATTGCACGTAAGCCTTCCAATTACATGCATGCCTTCAGCAGATTTAAAAAACAAGTTCCTGAATGTACATAAAATTAATTATATTAGGAGGATAATTGTTTTGGCTTTTTTCACCAGTTTTTGTTATTTATATATACTTTAGAAGCAACAAAGTTTACCAATTAAGAATCAGTTTTCAAAAGTCTTAACATTCCATAATCTGTCAGCCTCCACAACTGAGGAAAAAAGCTCCAGAAAGGAGTCAGTGTCAGAAAATCAGGTATTTTCCTTAACAAAGCAGCTGCTGCCCATTACTTTCAAAGCTGTATTCATGGGGTATTTTTTCCCTTTTCTTTCTGTTCGAATGCAGACTGAAATTAGACTTGTAGGACAGACCCAGACCATCTGCCCAATTCCTAAGAAAACTTCTTCCCTTTGTTTGCCCTAATTAGCATTTTAATCACTCAAACATGTATCTTAAAGCAGCCATGGCACTGCCAGTAACTTTTGTGTTAACTCCCACCCGATGACCAATTCTGTGCTCAAACACAGAGAAAAAGCACAAAGATGCTCCTCAGATCACTGCACGGGTCACTCGGAGATTCTGCTGACAGTGTGGACAGATGGTGCTCATCTCTGTGAAAATCCACACAACCAAAAATCCCCAAACGCTCCCTAGATTACATTTTGTTACATGGTCTGTATGAATTATGTATAAGGATATCCAGAATTATCAGGAGAGCACATATAGAACTGCATATGGTGTGTTTGTGGGTTGGGTATTATTACTGCATTATCTAACAGTGCTTCTGCTTCAACAGGAACCTTTAAGCTGTTGAATGCACTAAGGCAACTGGAAAAATTAAATGGCCTTGGAAAAGTTCAATCTTGGAAATACTTCTTAAATCATAACTGTCTGAACACCCATCAATTGAGATGACTCAAAATCCAGCTACAGGCCTCAGGTTCTGCAGATTGTTATTCCTAGATTTCACTGGCTTAAATGGATGAGATCTGTGTGAGCACTCTGCTAAACAATTTCACTGAACAGAAAAGAAAAAAAATGCTGAATACTTCTGCAAACTCTAATGCACAACTTCACACATTTTTTTTCTTCTTTTTGGTTACTTGACCCACGAACTTGAGTGGTGCAGAAAAATTTAGGATATTYGYATTTCTCTAAATATACTAGAAATCRTATCAACATTCAAGAAAGGAGTAAGTAAACACTAAAACCAGAAAATGACACTACCTTGGTACATTCTAAATAATCCAGAAGTTTATTTTAGTCATAGTCCYTTCAGCTGGCCATGACCAAGGATCCTTTTAGCTGCTCAAAGTTACAGAACATAGCTTATTTCTACAGCCACATTATGTTTTCTCTTTTCCTAACTTGATTACACAGCTGTCATCAAAGAAAGCCACTGATTAAACAGTTTCTCATGAATTTCTCCCTATTATTCCCACCAAGTTTGTAACAATGTTTCCTTGGATAAACTGATCCATAATTGTGTCAATAAAAAACCACTCTAAGGGCAGTTATGTGCATTGACAATGACTGCACAATTTGAAGAGTGTTAAATCCTCATTGCTAAAGTGATGAATGATGTTTTAAAACGAGCTAATCAAAACATTTAGCATAGTTTGTAGTTTGGTTTTTTTTTAACTCTTCCTAGTTTAGGCCAAATCATTGCCTAAATGGTGGCAACCATGGTAAGGGGAACACCAAGGGAGGTGTTGGAGCAAGTGAGGATTAAAAAAAAAATCAAAAATAAAATCAACAAGAATGGGTGTCTTTCATATAACGTCCAATTGTCCAATTTGTGCAGCATTTCCCTAAGCAAAGGAGCTTTCCAACAGTGATCATGTAACAGCTCAGGCTTCAGATTTCTCAGTGTGAATTACTTCCAACTTTGACAATGAACAAACAAAGCGTAAGGAAGAATAGGCTGCAAAGTTATCACTTTGCAAGCATAAAAAAAAATAAAAGTTGTTGCCTTAGATAAACATCCTGGATTTCTTCCATGYTCTTGCTGGAAAAGATGGCAGAACAGGGTCCTTTCTTAACCTCTTGTTATTTGGACTCTCAGCAGAGTGTGCTGGTTAAAAATGGCTTTTCCAGATCGGGCACTGCATMCACTTTACTTCACAACCTGTGCCACTGCTGTGTCCCAGTTAATCATTAAYGCTGAAGGGCTTAGGCAGATGAAGAAAGATCACCCAATGCTAAAAGCCAAGTACTTTTCAGCAGGAAATTCCAGGGGAAATGTGAAAATTTAAGACTTACAAAAATTCTGGGAAAGACATTGTAAGATTCATGCTTTTCAGGAGATCTAAACAACTGCAAGTGTGAAATATTTTGAGCTGTACTGCATAAAACCACTTCAGCCATCAAATTGAGCATACACAAAACCAGTCACAAAACTAACGAAACAAGCATGCATGCAAGCACTGCCTGGAGTACAAAACAGATGCAGCATCTGTGGACAGAGTCATATTTTAGAGCTGAAAAAAAGCTGTTGCAATTAGCACCTATTACTTCAAAACCAAACATACCTATTTTAAAGTAACATATATGCTATTTTGTAATTACAAGTGGAAAAGAAATTACTATTCTTCTTTCTCTCATCCTCACTAACAGAGTAGTTAGAATAACTGGAAAATCAGGAATAGTATTGATCTTTTCTGTAGTTTATTTCCACAATATTAGACACAGCTGAAAGCAATACTCCACCTGCTTTTACTGCTCTGGAAAAAAGCCCTCTGAGTGTCTAAGTGCTCACAAGACTGTGCCTTGCAACAGCAGTGATTGTAAACACCCTCCAGGAGGGCAGAGAGAGCAGATACACCTCAGACCCAGTTCAGAAGGAGAAAATGAAAATGCCATTTACCTGTTTGCAGGTGCCATTCAAAGCAGCAGCACACCTTTAGGCAGGGACTGCTGTTTGCTGCTGARCAGTGATGGGATGTCTACAGTCCTAGGTGGGCTTCATGTTCAGCAGGGGTGTTCAAGAGTGTTAAATCATCATTGCTCAAGCAATGAATGATAGTTGAAAATGAGCTAATCAAAATGTTTAGCACAGTTTGTAGTTTGGTTTTTTTTTTTTTATCTCTTCCTTGTTTAGGCCAAACCTAAATGGTGGCAACTGTACTAAGAGGAACAAGAAGGGAGGTGTTGGAGCAAGTGAGGATTTAAAAAAAAATAAATCAAAAAGCACAGTGAGGGTTTCATGTTCAGCAATGCTCACAGGAGTTGTTTGGATTTTCTAACCCCACACACACAGAACAGGTCACCCATGAGTGGATGGGCTGGCTGGCACCTGGCACCAGGACTGAGCACCTTACACGGGCTCCAGCATCTCCCACACATTGGGAAAACGAGCTGGGACCTCCACAGGAAGCCAGCCAAAAGGGAGGACTAACAACTGAGGCTTACTGCACACCTCAGACAGCCTTCTTCACCCTCCTACTCACCCCCACATCCACCACTGGAGGATCAAACAAATACAACACATTCTGCCTTGTAGTCTAAGGGGAAAAAAATCCTGACTGAAGTAAGATACTTCAAGTCTGCATAAATCACATTCATTTCGAATTTCCCATTYCCAATTTCTTTTCATGACTGTTCATAATGATCTAACAGTGTATCAATTTCCTTGAAAACCAGCACAGTTGGAAGATCTGAGCTGCCATGTACATGAAACGAGACTGCACAGATTTTACACTGTTCAAACATAACATTATCTCCAGTTTGGGTACAAATCAGTTCTGAATTTATAGATGCTACAATTCCCTTCCATTTCATTATTTCCATTCTGGTTTTTTACTCAAAATATTTACCCTTCTGTTTATGACACAGATATAATTTAATAATTTATATTATTAAATATTTCTGATCTATCAGCTGGACATTTTCATGGGCTGCAAGACAAGCAGTGTGCACTGTCAGGATAATTTCCCCCTCAAAATCCATCCTGGGAAAAGTTTACTCCTAGGTTAAGCCCTCTTAGGAGGAAGCAAGAGCTCACTGAAGGGCAGCAGGAGAATGGCCTGAGGGAAGGTCACAGCAACATCAGCCACCCCATGAAGTGTCACCACAGGCAGATTGACCATCCTGTCACCCAGCCTCACAGCATTCCAGAGCAGGGCAGATCAGGCCACTCCAAAAGAGACCTTTCAGCCTAATGGGTCACTCTTTATCTCCACCAGTCTGATAAAATTAGTGCCTTATCTTTGTTACTGTTCTCGCCACCAAAATAACCTGATGCTCACTGTGTCTGCTTCACGCCACTCACAGTATGAAATGTCTCTTGGTGACACAGTCCATGGCACAAAAACCACTACCTTAATAGATGTTTGGAAATCAAGCTGGTCAGAAAAAACTATTGAAGTTTAATCAAAGCATTATGACGGCATCTTCTCATCATATTCATACCAAACCAACAGATGGTCAGAAATCAAAGAATATTTATGAATATTTTCATAATCATACCTTCCCTTTTAAGGATAGGAAACTTCTGCACTACTTGACTTCATGCTTGATGAAATATGAAGACAAATCTTGATTTTGACTTAAACCAGAGTAAATTCTGAGTGGTGTAGAAGAATTTAGGCCCCCAATATCTTCAGAATGGTGATGCCTCACAGAAACACTGGTRCTGCAATGCAATGCTGTGTGGAAAATATCTAAGACAGCACAACCAGCTTGCTTTGAAACTGCAGAGAATTTTAAAACTCTCTTAGAAAGGATGGACTATCAAATTTTGCAGACATTTAATCAAAGGTGAGATATATTTGCATGCTGCTACAGGAGCTCAGTATCTACCTGTGACATACCCTGCCAAGAATGGGGCGTTTCACACTTCWGCAAGTAACATCTTTTCCAAACAGGACTTAAACATCAGGTCTTTATTCTTAAATTGATATTAATCTTCTTGCTGTTAGAAATTTATTAAGTGTGACAAGACAGAAAGAATGCCTAAAATAGGGTTCTTTTAAGACAGATCCAAAAATATGTCTGCCCTTTCTTACATATGTCATCACAACATTACAATTACATGTAATGTTATAATTACACCATGCAGAGATTCATGGGGCAGATAAACTACAGGGCAACAATTTGGATTGCCTTTTGATATGACACAATATTTTAATTACATGACTCATTGCAGCACTTTCAAAGGCAGTTAAATGTGCAGTCTTACAAAGGAGTGGTCATTTTCATGTATCTATTTTCAATGTGAAGTAAAAAGAAAGAAATMACACAGCCTTTTAGAACCTTTTCGTTCACATTTAATTACTAAGAATATACTGTTTGTACTCTAATTTCGTTGACTGCCAAATGTCAGTGCTAATGGATAGCCATAAACACTTACACAGAGACTAATTTGAGTTTCAAGATCTACTCTGTCACAAAATCATGCTCTTCAGGCACAGTTCCAAAAGGTGACCTGTTCCAGAAAAAATGTCTGCTCTCTGAAAAAAACCCCCAAACCTCCAAAATTCTTCACAGTGTTTTTAAAATGTTTATGTTATATATGGAGAGTACAGTTCACCTTGRGTGAGTCTCATTATTTCACAACCARTAAAATGCCARTGGAGTCAAAAGTCACATTTTTAGAAGCAGCAGTGAGTTTGGCTGAGTGGAAAGAGAGGTTAAGGCTAGGTCAGTGACACCTAGTATAGTCACTTACTGCCCTCTTCCTCCCCTCTTAAAAATAAGAAAACCAAACAAATATAGCTTTATATAGCACAGAGGAGGAATTTATTTTAAAAGCTGCACTTAAACCCTCAAAAGAAAAGCAATCCAAAGCATTTTGGGCTGCCATTATGTTCCCAGCCTTTTTCCTTCCAACAGAGAGCTGGTTAGAATTTCTGAATTGCTACAGGTGTCATAAAACARCCTCCAAGGCCACCTTTGCCTCCCTAAACTCAACCAATGCTCATCCTCTCTCATTATAAACCTTTTCCTACACTTTGAGGTGTGTARATTTGTATAGAAGGCTTTGAAACAACACAGTAAATTCAACATTCATACTTACTTCAAGTCTGTTTTCAYTTACTCTAAGGTACATTATTCAGCTCCATAACAGCAATAAAATTAAAAAGCAGAATTCATCACATAATGGAGAGARATTCTATTAGACAAACACAGCTGATCTTTTCAATAATTAAACCATCTTCCTTTTTACACATGACATTTTAATCTGTGAATATGCTGATACCAAAAGTAATACTCACAGTTGCTTATAACTCCCCCAAGTGGGTCRCCCTTGAAATCAAACTCAATATCCATGTATTTTCCCTGTGAAAGCAACAGATTTGAAGATTATAAGTTCTGTTTAAGCAAAACTGCTCAAGACATTGTTTAGGTTAGTTGGTTGAAAGGTTAAAAGAGCGATCTGACAATTTCCTGCCAGAATTTTGAAAACCAGAAAATTATTCAAATCATCTAAGACCTTTATCACAGCCAGGGATTTTTAAGAAMACAGCTTTAATTGGGTCTGTAAAGCACCCCAGGAACGTGCTCGGTTTCTAAGGTTCTGCGAAGGAAACGCACATTATCCAAACTTCCATCGGAGTGCCAAGAACACCAAACAACCAGGTATCACCACGAGCGTTCACTGAAGGCTGCAGGACAGAAATCATCTTGCAGCCAGCCTTTTTCTCAGCAGGAACTCTCCGAGCGTGAATCAGGGCAGCTGAAGGAGCGGCTGGCAGCGATCGCGGGACGTCTGTCCCCGAGCGTGTGCCTGCCTTGTAAAAGTGATGGATTTTTCCCGCTGAACTCTTTCCCTCGTAACTCAGGAGACCAGAGGCAACAATTAACGGGCTGTCACCGCGCGRGCGATCTCAATCCGAGCCGTGCTGGCACAATGTGGGTTTCCTTGACTTCTGCCTGACTTTTCCACATCGCAGAAGATCGCTCTGGTCTTTGCATCTTTTTAATTTATTTGACAAGTGCTTAATGGAGTAACAGCTACATTTTAACAGTGACAAAAYGGACAGAGCCACTCTGGGCAGAAAAGACACTGGCGAGGAAGTGAAGAAAGATAAAAGCTGCTGGTAGTAATTCAACCAAATTCCACCCTCTGGCRCATAAATAGAGGACACTGCTCACTGAGGGTGGTGAGGCACTGRGACAGGCTGCCCAGRGAAGCAGGGCAAGTTCAGGGCTCTGAGCTCCCTGGTGCAGTRGGAGGTGTTCCTGCCCGTGGCAGGGGGTTGGAATGACACACTCTTTAGGGTCCCTTYCATCCCAAACMATTCTATGATTCCATGGCAAAACCAGCACGTTGAAAAGCTTTGTGTTTATACCTCCTTATTCACTGCATTTAGGAAGAGATTGGGTTTTGTTTATTTTTCTATTTTACTTTTTATTACAGAACATAAAAATCCAAGTACTTTACACTGACTCATTCAAAGATAMTTTCTGCTTTACTGGGTATTTTGTWGAGATTGGTTTGACTCTACTTAAACTCTGTTCTCTTGGCTGCCAGATGAGGTAGCTAGACAGGACAGTACTTGCACTATCTTGTTTAAAGTTAATTCAGAGCTGATTCGAATTTCAGAGATAAAAAAAATTAAAGCAGATAATTAAATTTTCATTCCCAAGGACTGGGACAGCTGGGTGTTTCCAAAAGTATTTTTAGCTCTTTGTTTATAAGCAAGGACTTGAAAGGCAAAATAGTTGTTGGTTGCACTTTGTTCTGGAAAGACTTCTCTGCTGTCTCCTTCTCATTTCTGTAGTATGTCATTCTGATAATTACAGTGTTTCTACCCTTTCTATTAAAAAAAAAAAAAAAAACAAAAAAAGTATCTCTACAGGTGCTCCAAATTTTGGCGCTCTCCTTGTGAAAAAGACCCCTTGCTCTATCCACAAGCAGAGGCAACGAGAGCACTCATAAACACGTGGAACAAAATCATCAACTCTTGAAAATCAGAAGGGAAGGGGAGAAAAATCTCCCAAGTGGAAAAAAAAAAAAAGCCTCTCTCCAGTCTCACATTGTCCAACACTTTTACACATTGGCTTTTACTCACAACACACCACTGTCCCAGTGCATTGATCTGCCTTCTCTTGTCTACTTCACACATCTCACGATGTTTCTCTTCTGAACACAAGTGAGCAAATGACTTGTATTCAGCTTTCTGATTTGAGCAGGAGAAACTAGGACGAGTAGTCCCACTTCTAAACCTCTCAACCTTTTTGTTTTTCTAATTGTCAATTCCGATAATTTCACATCCAGTTTCGTGCCAAAAAAAAGCCAGAATTCAACCAGTTGATTATAAAGAATTTAAGCAAAAAAGTAATATTACAAATAGTTTCTATTAAAACTTAAGTTGTAAACACATTTTGAAATGTTATAGAAAGTAAATGGGAACCTAAGGTTGTAATTTTAACCTATTATTAACCTATTTTATTTTTTTAAAAATAAAAGCTATATGAACGGAAAACAAGATCATATGGAAAGATCCAGTTGCCAAGCAGACCCATTACTGGATAYGTGGTCTCTGACACCAAAGCCACCAGTGCCAGAAAATTGAAGAACCCAGCTGCACTGTAGTTATGTTTTCATCCAGTCACAGAYTGTCACATCCTAATTTTGGTTTTCTTTTTTAGCCTCTACTTTGATATTCAATGGAACTCTATGCTCATATCAGAAACCAACAAGATTTCTGACAAGGAAGTCAAAAATCCTTTAAGAGGGAAGACTGATAATGGCCTACTAACACTTTGGGGAAGGAGAACATGCTCCCATGTACAAAATTAAATACTGACTGTTGCTGAAGATGTTTATCTTCTTCAAACACCATGGTCCTCAGATAACTACAAGAAAGCAACCTAAATTATTCATTGTCTCTTTACAGATGCCTTGATGGTTGATACATGGTGAAACAGAAATAGCCAATAGCACAGCATGCTTCTCGAAAAGGAAAGAAGAAAACACTTACAAATCTAGAGGAGTTGTCATTCCTCACAGTTTTGGCATTTCCAAAAGCTGGAAAAAGAGAAAAAYAAATATGACAACCAAATCTATCAGCAAAAAAATATTTAAATACTAAAACCTGTAGGTCTTCTTATATATTTAAAGGAATTACAGACTTCTGAGTAACAATACCCTCTTCATTGTATGGGCATCAGTCCCTGGGAACAGAGTGTGACAGACATGATCACAAATGAGAAAAACCTATAGAAATCCAAAGAAGTTTAGTCTCAACACTTTCCTTGTTTAAAAAAAGCTAAAGAAAAACATACAAGAGGAAATGGTTCCTAAACAAAACTACATCCATATTTAGCATATATCTTTGGRGGTTGAATCAACAAATTCATAATTTTATTACTCAAATAACTTTAAATACAGGAAATATTTCTTCCTCTTCATTTCAGAGGAAGAAATGAATCCTAGTTCCCAGAAGAGGATATGTTAAAAGATGGAGATCAGAAGAAAGGAAATTACATCCTGACATTTAAAAAATTGTTTGCATAGGACAGTTTAACAATTCTTTGAAATGGATTTATTTACACCACTTAAACTCATTCACCCTACTTTAAGCTGAATATTAATCAGCTGAAATAAGTCAGATTTACAATGAGAAYTTGTGTTCAGCTTGACCTAAACTAGCTTTCTGAACAGCTTGGTTTGAATTGCTTTAGCTCAAGTTTTATGACAAYGAAGGTTCTCTGAGAAAGGACTTCCCAGGGCTACATTCAGATGAGCAGCCACAGCTTAGAGCACGGGCAGGGCAAGAACTCAGACTGGAGGACAATTCAAGCTCTAAAACTCCCCCACTGTCCGAGAACATYGAGTCAAACAGGAGTGTCCCCTCCATCATTAGGTACAGCACTCCTGCTTCCAACAGGAGACTTTATTTATCCCAGTATTTATTTACACAGTATATATATTTTTGAAGATCAAGTCAAGTCAATGTTTTTTGGRCAGAAATAAATACATGCCTTTAGGCTTCTACAAACTTGCATGAGTAGACTTATTCTTGACCAAATAACTAGAGCCAAAATGAGAAATTTGTTGATCCTAAAGGCCAGGATAAGTGAAAGAATTGTTTTTAAAATCTTTATGCCCTGCAATAAATCATCTTTTCAACAACCAAATCTCTGAGCTGCATTTTCTTACACATAGTACTGAACACTAGAGTCATTTATAACTGCATGGAGTCAGGCACAAATGTTCCATTATAAAGCATGAGACACATTCCTTGGTTTTCCCTAAAGTTCATTGTTTCTGAAAGGTAATTTACAGAAGCAACTCTAGTTTAAAAAAAAAAAAAATCTCACAAGAGAAATTATGCATATGTAACATTTATGTCATTTTTCTTGCACTGCAGTTTGACTGAAACAGAATGACATAACCAAAGAAAAATAAATCTAACCACAAACGCTTAATTTCTGTATAAAACRTATCTAAGCAGCCAGGCTTGCTCAGTTTTTATTCCTTATGGGATAAGCCAGTGTCCTACCTTCCAAAGAGCTAAACAGGCAGTTACCAGCACATCAAGTAGAACAAATAGTACCTTAAAATGGTAAGGCAATCTTCYTCTTGCATTAAACCAACAAGAAATCAAACACACTGGCAGTCCCTGGGGAACAATCTGGCTTTAGCAAGAAAAGCCTCCTGTACCTACCATGCCATTTCTGTCTATCTCTGAAATCTGCTTCCAGAACAGTGGTAAAACAACGCAGCTGTTCTCTGTGAATCCAGGACAATGGAAGGATGCAATCCCCCCATTCAGCTTTAAGGGGAGCACAGCTGATCATCAAAGAAAGGCTTATGCAGCACTTCTATTATTCTTAGATGTCAACATTTCGTCCTTTCTTTACAAGTCTTTGCTTACATTTTCTGTTTTGCGTACAAAGACCATGTTTTAACCATCCAGTTCCCCATTGCTGTCTGCCCACTTTTTTGCATTCCCTTTCCTGTTTTTAACTTTTCCCTCTGTTCTCACTTGCAGAGTTCTTGTCCCCTATAGACTCCAATTCATCCCATATGAGCAAGGCAATAAACGTGATGCTGAAGCTCAACAGTCTTCACAAACACCACATATGATGTGGCCATAATGCAAAATTGTCTTTTGACAACTGACTTTGTCCCAGCACCACAACAGCTTTGAGAATTCTGGGAAAGACTAAGCCAGGAATCGACACAATAGACCTAAACAAGTCAGAGCTAACCAAGGAACTTCTGAAGGTAATTATTAGACAATGGGACAAAACTGCAAGCTTTGAGGATCATATATCCTATCTCCAGGAAAAAAAAAAGATCCTGTTTTTGGCAGCCAACATACTTAAATTAAAATTACTAATTAAAAAAATACGAGTCTTTTGTGGGAGAGCAGGAAAGGCAGTTGTCAGGAAGACGTGGCCAACAGTCACCAGACTCAGKGAACAGTAAGTCTCAGGGAACAGCAGACATGCATATGGATTGGCTTAGTTTTTTCTAAGATCCATTTCTTCACCCTTTTTTTTTTCCTATAAGAAAAATAATGCCTTACAGAGCTTGTTTGTTTACTGGAGACTATAAGAGTATGATTTGGAAGGAAATGAATCACAGGGACTGAAGTCAAGYCTTTTGATACAGCAAGCATCAGCAAGGCAGGGTTAAGAAAGGGTAAGCCCTCTGAGAGCAGCAGGAGGAGGCTGGGAAGTATGACCTAACTTCCTAAGCTCTTCCTTCATCAGGGAAACCATTTTCTTCTCAAGAAAACCTACACAAAACTGAATAAAATCTTTCAGCTGTATTCACATCTCCTATGGTTACACAACATCATCAGGCACAGCTTTCCAAACCAGCTCAGCGGGAGCACCAGCACACACACAGGTAAAATGCTCGAACATACTCTGTGAGATTCTTACCTTCAAGGACTGGATTTGACTGCAAAAGTTGTTCTTTTACTTGATTAACCTCTGCTCCTTTTCCACACACAGCAGCCACATATGACATGACAAGTTTGCTGGCCTCTGTGGGGGAGAGCCAAATAAAACAGTGATAAGCGTTGGCAAAAAGCCGCAACATTATTTTGCAGCCTAAATCTCTGTCACATTTTCTCAGTGCCAGACAGGAGCTGTGAGCATATTTCTTTTCACTTTTCTTCTACATCATTGCACCATCTGAAAATGCAGAAGGRGCACACCCTGCTATGAAATCCATGCCACTACATCAGCAATCCTCTTGATTTAAACAGCCAGAGCCTCTGCCCAGGCTAAAAAAGCCACCACTGGATAAGGCACATTACCTGCTCCTTTCTCCTTTGGCCTCAGTGAGAGGCATTCTTTAAGGGAAGAACATTATCCCCTGCTGACACACTGGACATGTTTTAATCAAGCCTGAAAATAAACAGGTTCAGGCAGTTTCACAGCACAAAATTCAATCAGTTTATATCAGCAGATACACAAAAAGTGCAAACATACAGCACTTAAACACATGTAATGACAACCTTAAACTACAAGCAACTGAATAACTGCAACATCACATAACCTGCTGCAGTCTGAAAGTATAAACAACAGAGAAAGTGAAGAACCCATTTAAACAATGAAACTATTTTGAAGGTGCTTTCAACAAAGTGTGGAACAATTTGTGGACTCTCAAACCTGGGTTCATATGGGTGTAAAAAATGAATATTAGATAATCCATCCAACCATCTTATGGTTTTGCTGGTCAGGAAAAAGCAGCTGGAAAATTGTTCTGTTTATAAAGATGGTTATGGTTACTATGATGCATATGAACTTTGAGGCAATATGGGTTGATATACAATGTAATTACTAMCAGCTGGAAACCCTGTCAACTCAACACTGGTCATAAAAAAAAAATCATTATATTACATATGTAACAGATCTTCAGAGATCTGTTACAAATTTAAGGCCCTCATTTCAGGAAAAGGCTGACAGATGAGAAGTTATCCTTTGGATTTGGATTTTTTCCTATTTACCCAAATTTGTTTGTTAGCATTATATTACTATTCCATGTTGCAGGGAAAGCTGAGCAGAGCTGCCTCCCAGGAAGCAAGAGAAGAGCCAGAACTATGGGTGTGCTCAGAAGGCTCCCATCTCCTTTATTTGTGCCTCAAACCCAGCTCACATTTTAAAGAATTTGTTCCCTTCAGAGCTTGGAATTACTAAATTATTTAATTTGAGATATTTCCTAAAACCATCAACATCTTGAAGCAGAGCCACTCGATCACTGAGAGAAGCATGCACTAAAGCAGCAAAAAAGCTATTATAATAGTCTACACACAATGACTTCAATACAGCCTTTGAACACCAGCAAAAGAAAATAAAAGCCCTTTCTTTTATTAGGAACTCTATTTGTTCCAAGACATCAGGGAGGGAGTTATCATCCTAACATCTCAAAACATTTAAATACACCTCTCATTCTGGCAGTGCACCATGTTTTCTTGCCCAATGTTACTAAAGCTAAGATTATAAATGTGCAGTGAAACAAGAACCTAATTGGAAATAAACAAAAAGACCCAACAGATGACACTTCAGTTTCAGTTCTTCCAGGGCAAAATGTCAAAAATTCTGGCTACCAAAAATTTAAAACACAGTTATGTAGTGTATCTGTACTAAGAAGTTTGTTTCCTTAGCTCCAGGAAAGCCCGCCCCACTGCATCCCCCTTTTTTTTTTTTAATGAAAGCCTGATTTCTCAGCTCATAGCCCCATTCCAACAACAGTTGTTAAATCAAATGATAGAGAATATCACAGATTCCAAGCTGATTAATGACTTGAATTTCAAACCCTATATTATTTTGTATTTACCTTTATAAAGAAAGAATAATTCATATTATGTCCCATATGGCCACAAAAGTTACAGAACAGTCAAAATATCTACACAAATCTAAATCTACCATTTACATACAGAGAAGATCAACAACTCAACCTCTGATTCACCTTTCAAGTGAATAAATTAATAATATGTGTGCCTCAGTTGCATGATGTGTTTGACAATTCACAGTTCATGAGAAAATCAAGACATTAAACAACACCAATACAGGACTCTTTTCTATGGTCTGAACTTCTACACTCAACCTCAAATAATGATATCAATAAGAACTTGAGGTTTTTTAATACACACTTTTACTGAACACATTTTCACATCATTGAACTGTAAATAAGGATTACATTAAAAGACTTCAAGAACTTTGAACCGGATGCCACTAATCAAAGAGTGCCAGAGAYGAAGCCTACACTTTATATTTTCAGAAAGGTCTTGGAAAGCAGCTTCTTATTGCCCACTTTGAGTCTTGCTCAAAATAAGCACACAAAGCTCCACATATTCTCAGATTCAAAGGAAAAAATTCTCAAATTACTTGGAAACAGATGTATGCCTTCCTACCCGCTGTCTCTTTTGCAAGTCACCTCTGTTTTAAATTGCTATCTTTGAAAATAACTGACTTCTTTCTTTTTTAAGGTTTACCTAAAATGTACTGTAGTTATGCAATCCTCACTTGGTTTCTAACCTTCCAGTTTAAAAACTRGAAGTCGTTTTCAAGGAAATGTCAGCTTTGCCTAAGAAACTCAGCGTTCTGGTACACAAGCCAATCTTAGAACTGCAGCAGAGCACAGTGTGCAAAAAGCTGATAACATTTCCATAGAAATCAGCTACTGTTATTTMTTTTCCTCAGATAAATAGCATAATCCAGTTTTAAATGCATAWRTTTATTGAGAGACAAGTGGAAGTAKCAAGCCTAGAAAACATAGAGCATTCTGTTTTCTATGTCTTCAAGTTTCCCASCAGGAGAACCTAAATGTTTCCTGGCCCTTGCAATGTTCTGTGGCAAGTCAGCATCACTTTGGCACAACTCTGGATAGTGGTGAGGACACTGCATTAACATGAGATGGGACTTCAGCGTGGTGACAGTGTGAAAAAAGAGGATTTTATGTGAGCTCATACCTGCAGCAACAAGTGTGACAGCACTCGCCTTCTGCAATGGCCAGGCACAAAATTACTGATATTTCTCAACCCTTACAGACTCCAAAACCCCTTTGCAAGGCTCTGAACAACGCTGAATGTTTTTTATTAAGATCCAAACTGCTCCTTACCCGTTTTCCCAGCTCCACTTTCTCCTGTAATAAGGATGCATTGGTCTTTATCCTGGTCCCTTAAAGACCTGTAAGCTTCGTCAGACAGAGCAAAGCTGCAAAGAAAGAAAGAGTCAATTGAGATCTAGAAAAAAAAACTCATCAAATTAACAAACAGCAAAAATAATTACCATGTGTCCTTCACACATCTGGGGGAAAAAAAAATGCAACCAAAAAACCAGAACCCTCCAAGTGCTAATGTTCCAGAAGTGGCCAAACATTCACTTTTAGGAATATAAAGAACCACAGAAGCAAAATGGATACTTTTTCTCAGAGGCTTCTTTAGACCTCCTCCAGGAACTAGCAAAGATAATCTTGAAGTTTTCCTAAAGATAGAAAAGCCAAAACAAAATAACAGAAACRTAGCTATCTTTCTTCATTGAACAAAATGTCATATTCTTCATTGAAAAAAAATGTGAATGCATCATCAGGGCATGTTCTGTCTGAAGACATCTCTAAGATAAAGGACACAGAAAACCCTGAGCACTCACAGCACCATAAGCTGCAATTTCTACTCAGTAAGAAGAAATCCCACAACCTTATAGAGCACTAAGCATTTTAAGGCTTTGGGTATAGCTGGAATTGTACATGAATATGCAGAATTATTTCCCTCTAACTGTGCTCTTAACCCTTTATGTGTGATGTCATCTAGTGAAYCTAAAGAATATAGTAAGAACCAACAGACTTCTGTACCAAAAATGTCTTTTCCTGGAGCTCAAAATATCAWGMCCCTGAAACTYCYGGGCTGCCATCTGAATCCAGATGARCTCTGCTGCCATGCAGCAACATATACTTTGGAGAAATGCAGATGTTTTACTTATATTAAATTTTCTTTAGTAGCAATTTGGAGACAGAAAGGATTAAGATTTTCTTCCAACTGCATTTTTCAATTAATGGAATGAAGTACTCTGGAAACTAAGCATTTTCCCCTTGGAAAAATTTAAACAAGTGGTATCTAAAAAAGGACATAAAAGCAAAATCCAAATAAAAAGGCATTACCCAATGAAAAAAAAATATGATATCCAAACACAGCACAGTTTTACAAGAAATAAGCAGCTGTTCAACAGACCAAGCAAGATCTTTGTTACATTACTGCATCTAGTAAAATATTTAGTGTTTTCATGTATTCAGAAGTGGATATTGTTTATTATTTACAGCAAACAAACCATGTATGAAAAACAGAMATGAACTCTCAGGTCAACGTAAGAGGCAGAACCATTGCAGGTTCAGCGCACTTTTTAGAAACTTGATTCTTTATTCTACAGCAGTTCAGGAGCTTTGCATTCAGCTGATAACTCAAAGAGATCAAGTATTTGTTTTGGACAACGTAGCTATATGGTGCTTTTCTTTCGCAGGGAACCACAGCCCCTCTGTGGAAAAGCAAGCTCTTTGTCATGCCACCAGCCTGGGGAAGCAGAAGCAACACAATGCAAGCAGTGAGAGCCACGCAGAGCCTTTTCCAGAGGCTCCTACTGCTGCAGTTCCAAAGCTTCAAATATTAAAACACAAATATACTAAAATTAGTCWGTACTTATTGCTGCCATTGTCCTTTAGCTCCAGACTTCTTTCCCCAAAATGTTTATGAAGAGCAGGATATGCTGTCTGCAATTTATCATCAAGTGTATGTGCCCCATTTCTCTTCCTCACCCCTCACCTGTACCAGACTCATCTCATATTTGCTGTTTGGGGTTTTGGTTTTGTTTGCCTGTTTGGTTTCACGGTCATATCATGCTGCCATCCCAGCCACCCTACAGAAGACCAGGCAGCAAGCGAGGGGCATTCTGCAAGGTTTGGGAAATGGGAAAATGAAACACCTGGCACCCCTTTGGCACCGAGCAATAACAGGGCCTGCCAGGGATGCTCACASCACTGTTCCCCTCTGTGTGTCTGTCCCATCCCCTCTCCAGCAGCACATCTGCCCCTCAGATCCCTGACCCACCCTCTCTGCCTTTCTCCCCAGCCCACTTTGTCCAAGGCACTAAATTACATTTCTTCTCTCWGCACAGATGGCCGGGCCATCCACTTAACACCCGTGATCAAAGGTCATTAACTCCTTTTGATACAAAACCCACCGAACCCAGAGCAAGGCTGATCTCTCAAACCTTAATACTGCTGTTCTGATTGAAGCATTTGAACTCAGTAGTTGAGCTGGAGGTGAAAATGTGTTTATGAGAGAGTAGCAGGCTGTAATGTTTTTAGCATTACAACAAAGTCAGATTGTGATGTGGCCAACATGCTGGAGAACTAGCAAAGAAAATAAAATATTCTGCTACTGCTGAGAGACCATGACACAATTTCTGGCACCCATTTTACTGTTTGGAATCCAAACTACAGTAGCAATAACACTTTACCAGACTCTCTTACAGAACATATTTAGGAAATTAATAATTTTTGTTGAACACTGATGCAGATACACTAGCAATTTGGAAAGTACAACAGCACTCAGAAAAGCTTATTCCAGCACAGATTACCTTCCTTTTTGCAAGAAAAAATTTAAAAGCAACAGGATGAAGATGAAAGAAATAAACTGCACTGAGCATTCATGGGCAGTGTGAGACAAACTTTTAACAATAATGCTGTGAYTACTACAGGTTTGACTGAGGAAACTGTCTTTCAGCAAGATAAGATTCTGAGATGCTTTTCAAATTTTCAGACTGGATGGCTCATTCTGTGCTCCTGTCCTTCAAGCAATCTTGGCCATTAACTGTTTTTTTCACTGTTGAAATAACTTTCTTGGCAGTAGTTTCACACCAGAAAATGAAATCAGCATCTAGCACAGGGAAAGTATTCTCTGTTGATATACTGAGTTACGAGTTAATCAGCTTAGTACCCCATTCATCTTTTCTAAAACACTGAATTTAAGTTTCTCAACAGCCCCTGTCAAAATGTATTTTACTGCTTGATGTATTTATKWWCTCYGCCTGCACTGCATAGTTAAAAACAYCAAATCATGCTTTTTGCCCTTCCTCTGCAGAGAAACTCAGAGTCTAATACTGCAATGAGGTCTCTGAAGTTGGAGAAGAGAGGGGGATTTCATCTAGTTCTGGTTTAATCCAATCTTATCAGAGATGCTTGGCATACACTATCATTTCCTGCAATCTACACAACCCACAAAGACTAACACTCCACCAGGATATCAAATATTATCTACTACAGGCAAAAGAAAAAAGAAGCCAACTCATTTCAAAAGCAGTTTTGCATAAGTATGTTTCAAAAGTGACCCAGCAGAAGTGTTCTAAAATCCACCACTGACGTTTCAACCACTGTTCCAACAACCCAATAGGAGGAGGAATAACCAAGAGTCTATTTAAACAGCTAAGACTCATCTTTCTGGCACTGCATAAAGGGCATTAGCACATTTATGTCAGTCTGAACAAAGATTATTATCTGAAAGAAMAGGATAGATCTATTCAGATGTCATGTTGACTTTCATGACAAAATGTTACACCTCWGAGTCTTTCCTATCTACTACCACCTTTTGTCTTTACAGTAACAGAAAACCAATACAAAAACAAACTTTGGGTCTTTTAGTTAAAACTCTATCTGATAAAAAAAATATAATTTCACGCTACTCTCTATTTGTTAAAAAAATAATTTCATTTAAGGTCATTTAAGTTTAACACATTTTCGTGATTTATAGACCACAAAAAATCTTAGCCTTTTCCTTTTAGCAACATTGAGACATGGCTCTGTAAAGCCAACATTTGCAACTATAGATTCAAACCACATCCCACTCTTCAAGCCACCTCACAATTACAGAGCCCAAGTAAAACTTCAGAATAGTTTAAAAAGCAGTTATAAACCATGTGTTTCAAATTAGCTGATGAGTGTGTCAGCAGTGTCCGTTACCATACCTTATAATAAGCTCTCCTTTGATTTTTAGGTTTTCGTGGAGGAAGATGACATTCTCTTACCACAACAAACACAGAAATATTTACTGGTGTTCTCTTTTAGCTAAGAYTTAAGTATAGAAGCAATTTGAAATCRAAATGCCACCCACACCTAGCTCTGCTTTTTTATAGCACAGCCTGTTCAGCCACAAGCTCCAGATGGCCAGATCCCTCACAAAGTCCTAACCCAAAAACTTAACAAAGGGAAACAGCATAGCCCTCCAAAGGGGATTTCCAAAGGGCTCTGGCTGTTTCCAGCAYCTCTGTGCTTAAACAGAACACTGGGGTCAGAAGAGACAGGAGCACCCACAATTACCAAAGCCATAAAAMCCTCGCTYTTATAGTCAGAAATTCACTTCATARRAGCAGCTTTTCTACCATCTTTTTCCTTTAAGCCAAACTCACCAGGATCAGTATTTGCCAGATCCTGGTACTTCTTTCAGCTATCATTCTCATTCTTCCTTTCATTTTCCTTAGCATTCTCAATTAAAAGTAATTAGTTAATACTATTTTAAATTCTCTCCATTTGCTCTTCTCAGACACTYATAGAGTCAATTCACTTCACCAGCTGTTGCTTTGATTCAGAGATTCTCCCTATTTCTGAATCTCTATTGCTTAATCTTGCCTGTTGGTTGACAACTCGTTTGCTGCTTTCAAAGGAAATTAAGAAAACCTCTTTTTTTGACTGATCCAATTCCTCATGAAGCAGAGCCCTGGTACCAAGGTTCATTTCTGCTCAACCATGTCTAACACACTGGCAGGATGCTAAAAGTCAATGCTTATTAAAAACTCTATACATGATCTATATGTATGATATCTAACAGTCTATATGCTTCTGGTATCTAACGGTATACATGCCAGACTAAAAAGAAGAGCAGTAATATGTAAATTGTACATGCACCTTTAATATAAATACAAAATTAAATTTTATTTATTTATTTATTTCAAGTTCAGTTAAGAGCATAGTTTAATTTCCTTCCTTCTCTTTCTGAATGCATAAAAGTGCTCAATAGCAGGGTAACAGCRAACAAATTACTTCTTTCTCTCATGACATGCAGAGGAAAAACATCAGGATTACAGTTTGTTTCAGCGTAAAAATTCTAACGACTTGAGCTAAGAAGAGTAAAAGCAGGTTTTATAGAGTGCTTTGAGGCTTTATGTTGTAA